CAAAGAATCCTTGGGATTACGTGTCAATGAATTTTGCATCTGCATCGGATTCTCATAGTTGGAAAGCATTGGTGATGACGGATAATTATTCTCGATTGCTGTACCGATGGATAAAACAGACACCTATGCAGTTAAAAGAGTACTCAGGAGAGTTTTCAATACCTATTACATCCCGAAAACGTTAAAGGCCGATAATGGGCCCCCTTTCAATAGCGCAGAGCTCAAAGAATGGCTGAAGGACGTGTGGGGTGTGAAACTTATTAATAGTACTCCTTTGAACCCTACTGAGAACGGCCTAGTGGAAAGATTAAAATTACTGCTATCGCCAATCTTTGTAAGGACAACTGGAAGGAAGCCATAGCGGATTATGTTGCAGCCTATAACTCGTGGCCACATCATGTCACGAAGATACCACCGGCCGAGCTCATGTTTGGAAGACCAGTAAGAGGGTTGCTGCCAAATTTACGTACTGATCAGCAGCAAGTAGACGATGATGAGTTGCGTGATCGTGACCAAATAGCGAAATTCAATTGCAATGTTCGGGAAGACAATCGACGAGGTGCTGGTGATTCACAGATAAGCATCGGTGACATGGTACTAGTAGCGCAGCAGAAACGTGATAAAGCGGACACCGCTTATAAGAACGCACTACATGAAGTGGTGCAAATCACAGGTGAAGGACGAGTAACTGTCAAGGATATGACAACCAACAAGATGTTTGACCGGAATATTAAACATTTGAAGCGGTTCAAGGAAAGAAGAACATCGAAGAAAACATCTGATTGTATGTTGGATGGTAAAGTATACTAGAAAAATAACTCTCAATGATGAATTTACTCACATGTGTGATTTTAATTTTTTATTGATTTGTTTGTTTTATATTTTTCTTCTTTAGGAATGCTGGAGGAGAGCCAAGACGAGCACAACTTAACGAACTCAACTGGGCAACAGGGTGTGGACTGTAGATTGCCTACAAAACGTACAGCTTGCGATAGAACGACCGAAACCCAGATTTCGAATGATGATGAATCAATCTCAAAACGACGAGCAACCAGAATGATTAAACGACCACAGCGATACATGAATAATGTAAATAACCTTTCGTAGATGGAATGAAACAATATCACATGTTGAAGCTAGTTTAATTTAATGCATGGGGAGGATGTGGCATCCTGATGAGGATGTTTACTCATTACTGGAGTAGTCGTGTCGAGCGTGTACGACAAGAGATAAGAGAGAGAATAAATGGTGGGTGTTGCTCCACGAAAGTTGCTAATAATCAATTGTGTAATAGGCTTATAAAATACCGGATATCACACCAGAGATTTTACCGGTTGAAATGTTTTTAGCAGCAGTAAAAGATTGTTGACAAATCTAAATGTTCAAACCATTCTTGCAAGGAGTTGAAAGAAAGAGCTTGAAGAACATTAATTTTATTGTTAATTATTTAATAATGTACCATAAAACACACAAACTGCGTCGAATTGCACGTCTTGTATGTTCGGACGTTCAATTCGACGCATTTATGTGAGAAATATTTAATAAAAAAAAAACAATACAATTATATTTTTTATTAAGGATACTTTATCTGTTGAAATTGGAACACTCGTGGATCAACGATATTCAAAGCGATTTTAATAAATTCTTAAGGTACACGTTGTAATGCATGTATATTCATAACTGCATGTCAATAAATAAATTTCAGCTGGTTTAACATGGTTCTATGAACGTTAAATTAGTTTGAATTAGTTGTTTATTTTGTCGGAAATAGGTGTGGTTTCTGTGACCAACATTGATCGTCCTGTTGATCTTATAAGCTTTGGACGTATTTATATAAACTTTAACTCATACAGAGGACCAATGAAATTTTCAATTGCATGTGGAAACACTATTTAACTGATAATTTTAAAGAAATAATCATTACATTTTTCATGCAGACCAAATCGTGATCCAGAAATCAACGAATTACTCATACTGGACACTAATTACTGCAAATTTTTCGCAAACATATTGTGAAAACGCTGCTTTTATACGTTACACTAACTATTTGTGTAAAAACTTAATAAAACATCAACAAAAAGTCTGCAGAAAAAGTGTAAGTTGGTGCGCGTTTTGTTTATATCCAACTTCACGCACAGCTGTCAAATAAGACTGTCGTCAAGGTGAATTACGCGCAAATCTCAAATCACTCCGGATATTTCTTCATACTTTCCCGGACGATTCTTCCGACTTCAGAAATCAGGGAATGCGCATTGTTTCCTCCGGCGTAGGAACTTCTTCGGGATGTATCTTCTGATTTCTCTAGAAATCTTGCTGGTCTGGTATATTCCGACTTCCACGGTTCGTTTTGACTTCCACAATTAGGCCCAGTTGTTTTTTGCGACTCAATACTTTAGACTGCAAAACATTATCGTCATTTTATGTAAAATTGCAAGAACACTACAATGGCGACTGCTTATTTTATCTGAAATCAAGCTGAATATTACATTAGGTCACTGTAGCATTGATCGATTCTCTTCGTCGACTTTCTCTTTTGTTAATAACTTGTGCACATAACCGTTTCTTGTTGTATTTGTCAAATTAGATGCTAGATAAATGCTTCTTTTATTGATCTGTGTGCTGAAAATACCTGAGAATGTCATTACATGGCGTGGGGAAACAAAGAGCAAGCCGACGAAGAGAATCTGTCAATATTACTTAGTATCAAATGCAATGTTCAGCTTGAAATGATTCGTTGATATAAATTGGGTTTCAATTAATTGAGAAAAACTCAAGACCAGTTTTTAGCAAAATTAATATAATGACAAGAGCTTTATACAATCTGAAATGATGCGTCGAAAAAAAAAACTTGGGTATGAATATTTGGACATCGCACCAAAGTAAGTTGCACCCTAAATCATTTTTTCATTAAATTACTGAGACTTTACATCCATTCTCGCGTAACATATGAAAACGCCTATCCTCGTTGATCGGTTTTCTTCTTCGACTTTCTCTTTGGTTTACCACGGCAACATAAACGAAATTCTCACTAAGCTCACAGCACAGTAATAATACAACTCAATAACAAACAAAAACCAACTGACACTCTTCTACAGGAGCAACAATGTAGACAATGCTGCCCCGTACGATTTAAAACGAAAATCTCCTAGTCCATGAATAAACTTTGACGGCAGCCCTGAAGCAACCCACACAGCACATTTGTTTTGCCTCCCGTCATAATTGCTGCACAGTTTGATTGGGGCTCGATTGCAGCGAAACCGGCCAATCAAAGCCAAAATCAAAACCCCATTAAAGTCGAGTCGCTGAAAAATTGAGTCCCCTTTGGGCACCGCCAAAGCCATCCATATCCATGGGGTTGTGTGGACGTTGCACTATCTTCTCACTAACTTGGCCGGGGCCCATCGAACAAGTTCATTTGGAACCGCAATAAAATAAATAGCATCAAAATTAAGCAACATTTTTCATCGCGCTCCGAGTCTCCTCTAAGTTGTGTTTATAGTGTGCAGAAAAACATAACAAGAAACGCTTTAATGTCTTATTTCTCCGAGCCAAAAGCTATCGGTTACAAGTCAGCCAGAGGAAGGGGGGATGACTTGCAGGTTAGCAAGAAAAACAACACACTCCTGCCGCTGCTAACTGGGATCAGAGCAGGGCTATACCTTCCAATTGTATATAATTAACAATAACACAAGAAGCCCGCGAGGCTTGTGCTGATGTTGATTAGCAAATTGGCCGTGCCTCGGTCATAAGCCACAATGCATGTGAGTGGGCAAAATCTGTGCAAAGCTTTTATGCCCTGGCCGTGGCGAAGAGAATAGCAAAGGCCACGCGAGCCGCACTGTGCAAAAACCTAAGTGTGACTAATGATTTATTTAGTCTCTCTATTTTCACAGACTCCTCCTTCAGATGTTCAATAGTCGGTCACTAATCTACAACTATTTATTGTGACAATAAGCCACCTGGCTTGCCCGATTGTTTCACCACTGCTTAGGTTACTCAAGCTACCAAAATCATCTTCAAGCACACCAACGACTCAGCAACTGATAGAAAACTACATTGTAGCAGTGATGCCAGTTATATTAAATTCACATAGTGTCCTCCTAAATCTTGTGAGAGGAATCTCCGGCACTCCTGTCAATACGGAGGCTACCCGAGTCAACCCAGCGGCTAGCATAAATTCTGCGGTGATTTATGGAAATAATTTTTCGAAAATCCCCGCAATACACCAAAGCGAAGGGAAGCGGTAAGCGAGAAATAATTTAAAAGATTTTATACAAATGATTTTCTATTATTTATAGTAGCCTCAAGTGACGATTGTTGTTACCATATTGCAGCGGCGGCGGAGCGGAGAATCAGCCCATTTCGTTTTCGTGATCGAAATTACCCGCGAACCGCAATCCGCATTGTTGGAAGTGTTTGCGTCTTCGTAAATATCCATGCCAACAGCAGTCCGTAAGTAGGTACCACCTCAGCTCTGATTAGCCTCGTTGCTTCGGAATCTGCCAGTGTAAGAAAAATCGGTACCGTCAGACCCGGCGGGCATCGGATCGGCGCGGTAATAACAGCAACCGCAAGAACTTTTGACACTCTTGATCGTTACAGTTAATGGCAACACGCGGGTGGAAAAGCAGCTTGCTATGTAATTTTTTCAATCGAACTGGGATTTTGTGGACCAGAAGATTTCCTGCATTCGATAATAGCTACTGGCCTACTAAGTCCCAACTTGTTTGGAAATTGTCCGACAGATAGCAAGCGTTGCGCAAAGTGTTACCCGTAAGTGGCCGTTCAAACCAACGCAACTAATGGAACGGTAGATAGCAGAGCATCGAGAATCGTAGAATATGCACTGAGTTGGGATTTTCGAGTGACATTAACGTTCCATGATGTAAAATATCTGTGAGTTTGCATTCGTAATGCCCTTGGAAATCCCAAAATGTTGCATGTCACGGCCAGACACTATCAATCGGTGAAAAGTTCAAGTGATTCGGGAGTGCACTAACCTTCCTAACTTCGTTGATCCAGCAGTTGTCGCGTTTCTTCACCCGGAATTCCATTATCAAAAGTTACACTTAATCATGCAATAAATATTTTCAGTTGTATCCTAACATATAACAATAATTTAATTTTTTATATCACCATCACTAAAAACAAACCGCAATGCGTCCCCAATGCAGTCAACTTACTACCGGCTCAAACAAAAGAGCAATCTGAGATATCAAATGTGGATAAACAATACAATCCTTTTACAAACAAGCTCTTCGGTGGTGAGTGCTAATAAATAGAGCCCAAGGTTTCTTCCACTCACTTCGCTATAAACAATGCTTTTTTTTATGGGATCAACGATACTTTGTACTTGTAAGTTACAAAGTAAAAAAGTTAAAAAGTAGGTGATTGACACATAAATTCTGTCAATTTCGCTTTCAGACAGTTATAATGAGCGATTTTGTGATTCTTGAGCGGTCGAGTGAATAAAACCCTCGAGAATCATAAAATCACTTTGTGACTATCTGAAAGCGAAAAAGAGAAGATTCATGTGTCAAACACATACTTTTGAACTTCACTTGTAACTTACAAGTTCAAAATATCATTAAAACATAAAATGATTCCATAGTTCCAAAAAAGATTTTTTTTTTTGTAGCGAAATGCGTGGAAGCAGCCGTGAGTACAGGGCATATTCCATGCACATTTACCCTAGGAAATTGATGTCAAATTCGGCAGGTATCTCAACATCCGAGTTTTCAGTTTTTTAAGGTTTTAACCGGAATGAACACAACTGGCCGAAGACATTGAGCTCTCTTTTTGTCCACGCTCAAATAACTTTCGTGTTAACCATAAAAAAAAGTCTAGGATCTTAACATTCAATTAAAAAGTAAACAAATTTCCGAATAGAGCTTTTTGACGTTTAATCGGCGCACATTACTGCACCATTTAAATCGTACGAGTGCGAGCAAGAGGGAAACAGATTAGTGGGAAAACAAACCGTGCATTCATCCATGTGTGCTAGATAGAAAAAGACGATTAAACGTCAAAAAGGTCTATACCAATCATTTGTTGTGATGTGGCGTCGAAAAAACAAAGTGGCATCAAAATGGTAATTTTCATTTACACAAATAACATGAAAAGTAACTCAAAACACGTCGGTAGCATTGGTTCTCAGCACGGAAAACAAGATCGACGGAAAACAAACCAAGGGAAATAAAACCTATACCATAACAAATGGTACCTATACACTCAGCTACACACAATATGTTGATTTTGTGTTTCAGCAAAACAATTGTTTACTAGAACTCAGCATTAGCATATATCAGAGTATTTGCTGTTAATCAGTAAGCCGAACGTCCTGCCTACACACCAAATTTGAGATTTAGATTTCAGTAAAACGGATTGCTGGATCATGATCAGCAAAGCAATACTTTACTGAAAGACAGCAAACGATATGTTTTACCGAAAAACACAGCTAACATAAACTAATGGTGGACACTCAGTAATGAACTGTCAAACTGTTAGCGCCACAGTTGCAAGTACACACCAAATTTTAGTTATCATTATCAATAAAACGGTTTGCTGGATCATGATCAGCAACAAAATAGCTTTACTGAAAAACAGCAAACGATGTTTTTACCGAAAAATACAGGTTTGCTGGGTGTCCAAGTACAGAGCTGTCAATCTATTAGCGTTACAGTAGCAAGTATTTGCATTCGTACGATTTGTAGAAACCACCGAGGAGGAGGAAAACTACAAATATATAAAATTATGTTGGTAAGAGCACTGGTAATATTCATTTTTTTTATTAAAGTCACTTTAACGCACTTGAGTCATTTGTGACTTGTCCGGGGGTGAGATTTGAACTCGTGACTTTGGCGTGAGAGGTATGGATCTTAACCTCTACGCCTGGGTCGCCCCTTTTTATATTAAATTTTAATAAATTATGCATGGAAATTACCCTGGCGATTTTTTCTTTATTATTTGTATATTTGTATTAAAAATCTTTAACAGAAGCTGCCAGCTCCAAGTGAAAATAAATTCGATTTACTGAGTTTATTCAGCAAAATGCTGTGAGCTGTCAGAATGTTTTATTGCTGAAAAATCAGTGCAGAAACATTGCTGAAACTTTTGCTGATTAGCAGCATTATTTTGCAGAGGAGTTTGCTGATCTTTCATTAAGTCTAAAATCAGAAAAAATTTGCTGATTTTCAGTGATTTAAATTTGGTGTGTACACACTCATTTTTATTCGCTAGAAACCAGCAACATTTTGCTGGATTTTGCCGAGCTGGAAATCCAGCAATCCTTCCAGCAAAATGTTTTTGCTGAATGGCCAGCAAATTGATCCAGAGCTAATTTGACAGCACTTAACTGAAAATCCAGCAAAATGTACCGATTATCCAGTAAAATGGATTGGCAATCGTTTTGCTGGAATTACAGTAATTTTCGTTGGTTTTGTTTTAAAGAAATCACATTTTTATCAGAATACAGTTTATTATATGATAATATGTTCGTGTATAATACATCACATTATGTGCTGGATTTCGGTTGCGCGAATTTAAACCGAAAATCGATGCAGCTGTATGCACTCTTGATGGGTTACCGATAAAATTTCGCCTGACTGTAAAAATAAAAAGGAGCTGGGTACAAAACAGCTTAAAGTTTGAATTTTACGCTTACTTCATGACTTCCGCAGCATTATTGATTGTCTAGTGATAAATTTATGGTGCGCACTTATTAATTTTTCAACCGACTGAAAAATTATCTCATAGCTCGCAGCTCCAACGATAGAACCGATCTTGATTATGACATTTAATTCTGTTAGCTGGAACAATCAGCTAAATAATACCGATTACTGGTTTTACAGCAAAACTTTCTTTTGCTGGATTCACTTCAGTAATTCATTTTGCTGGAACTTGAACTCAAAATTTGGTGTAACGTACGCACCACCGTGTCTACATCGAAGGAGGAGGAGGAGGAAATAATTAAAATTATGTTGGTAAATACACTGGTTATATCAAATAAAATATACATGACAAAGAGCCATATCTTGTTGGTGATTCTATATTATTTGTGTATTTGTATCAACAACCTTCTTCAGAATCTGCATGCTCCTAGTAAAAAAAATCGATTTACTGAGTCTATTCAGTAAATCTGAAATCTTTACTGATTTGCAGTAAAATGTTGTCATTTTGACAGAAGTTGAAATTGCTGAAAGATACAGCAGCATTATCTTGCTGGAAAGTTTGCTGGCCTTTCATCAAGTTTAAAATCAGCAAAATTTTGATTTTGAGTTTCAGCATGAAATTTGCGGAAATAGATTCAGGAAAATAATGTTTTACTTGAATTCAGTATTAGCATATTTGGCACTGCCGAAATCCAGCAAAATAAACAAATGTCAGAGTATGTACTGATAATCAGTAAGCCGAGCTTCCTGCCTATATACCAAAATTTTTATTTTGAGTGTTAGCAAACAATTTGCTGGAATAGAGTGCTCTTAAGACCTCAAGATAATTTAGCCTACATGTGCGCTTTAACCACACATTCTGATTTTTGGAGTAGTCCAATTTTCGATGCAAGCAGCAATACGTATTCGTTCGCGCTTCTATTAGCATTTTCTCAGCGTCACGCACACATATGACGCATTTGATTGCTTATATTTATTTGCTGCTTGTTTATAAATCCTCTATTCTCTATCTCTATTGGAATAATCGACAGAATTTTTCGAACTGTCTGAAAGCGTTTTTACAACGCTCCAAACTTCTCAGGTGAGTGTGACTATTGTCGCCAGCTTCTTTTTCTTCGACAACCGTTTGAACTGCTTGCTAACCAGCTATTCTATAACCCGTTACTCTAAATCAGCCACATTTTGTAGTGCGTATATTTCATTCAAAGAAAAAATATGTAAAAGCAGTACTGTAGGTGTCACTGAAAAAAAAAAGTATCGGGATTTTATATTTAAGGCAAAAACCCGGAAATAACATAAACAAAAAAATAGAATGAAACACAGGTTCAGTAGTTTTAAGACTCAAAACGTGTATCTTCAAATTGTATAATTGTTTTTTATTAAAAATAAAATAATGATATATGCAAATTTAGAAATATTTAAAACCATGAACACTTGAAAATTGACAAAAAAAAAATTAGTAAGGAGCTTCTGGTCAGATTTTTGAAATGTTTTGCTAGTACACTTTTTTAAAGAAATTTCTACACAAGAAACAATATTTGAGACATTCCCAATCATTTTCCGTGCAAAGATTACATGAAAAACTTGCTAAAAAAAGTTTCAAATATGACCAAAAATTGATGCCAGTGTTGGAAAAATATAAATATCACGCTTGATTTTCGTAGACAAAAATCTACAAGAACCCGACCAACCGTTCGTGAAACTTCTTCAAAGTTCTATATACAGAATAAAGATTTATGTCGGTAATTCTTTACTTTAAATTTTCTATGATTTCGATGTACACATTTAAAAATCTTTATTTATCGATACTTACATTTAAGATTATTTCTTCATCGGTCATATGATAGTAATCTATAAAGGTGCCATACTAAATTTCTTTTAATTTCGATATGTCTCATGGACTTTAGTATTCTTTATAAATATTAATGAATAAATATTTAAATACTGATATCATCATAACTTTGAACTTTGACAAAGAACAACAAAGATTGCCATCGATGCACATTTATAATCTCCTTGTTGTCGATTTGGATCGCTGGTTAAAGAGAGTTCGAGACAAACCAGGTGACAGATGTCAATGTTTATATTATTTATCGACATATTCGGCATTTCATCGGAAGAAGCAATCTGCTGGTAAATTAATGAGAAGACCGATGGCTGCGACGCAGCAAATGTTTACCATTGTAGTTCTTCAAGTTTACGTATAGATATTTAATAACCCGTGATAGGATGCGTGGTGGGATTCTCGGCATTTGGAACCCAATGAGCAAAATTGATACCTTTTTAGCCTCTATTACACCCACATGGCTGACTGGTTGATGGTTATGACAAATAAATATTTAATTCATGTATGAAAAGATTTACAGAAATTCCAATACACCACATACTAGAGTGTGTTTGCCTGTCGTTGATAAGCTCATCAACAGCAGCCGTGGACCCGAGGATTAGCAACCAACAACGAAATCAGTACATCCCAGATGGCATGGGATCGAAACTAGAAATT